TCAACAATAATTTTTAAAACTATAATTCTATCTCCAATTCTGTTAATTTTTATAACATTATCTTCCACTGCTTTCTTCACTACTTTTTTTTTATTTTTTTTATTAGCTTTCTTGACTGCTTTCCTAAAACTTTTTTAGCAGATAAGGAAAATTATTTTAGAGATAAAAAATGGCAGATAAGTGGTTATTATATACCCCAATACGCGGAATTGCATGAGTTATGGAGATTAAGTAGGTAGGGTTGTTAAAAGTAGGTTTCTGGTCTTGTTCAGGTTGAACTCGAATCTAACCCAACACTTTTTAATCCGACCCATTTGCGCACTTTTTAATACGAACTGTTTAGGCACTTTTTAATCTGACCCGAACCCGACCCGCTTCTTTTATGTTTTATTAAAAATATTTTATTTTATTTTATTTTATAAAGTTTTCTTGTCCCACTTGTCCAAGCACATGTGTTATATATATATAGTCAAGAAATGTCTTCGACTAAATCGAATTAAGGTAAGATTACTTCAATCAATTTAAAATAAACCAAACTTAATTTAGTTTGGGCAACATGGTTTATTAATTTTTGGAAATAACATTTACTTATTTTATAAAAAATTTTAAAACCCTCATAAATCAATTAAAAATGGGTTGATTTCAAGTTTTCGGGTAAACCCGAACCCGACCTAATTTTATAAGCACTCTTCTAAGGTAGAGATTTTTCTTTAATCTCTCCAAACAAAAGTTAGTGTTGCTAGGGTAAAATCACAAAATGAAATGTAAGGGGGAAAAGGCAAAAGGTTTCAGTAAACTCTGGAACAATTGATCATTTTAAAAAAATCCAATAATGCAAATCATCAGTGTTTAATTCTTTGGGTAGAAATTTGAAGGTGTTTATATAGTTTCAATTAAATATTAATTTTTAATTCATCCAATCAAATGATAAAATTTAATAAATTCATAATTTTTCAAAACTGACATTTTTCTAATTCTAGACAATCAATTTTCTCCCCAAAACAAAATCACAATGGTCAAAATCCATAAGAATACCAACAAACTATGAAATCCAAGAAAAATTGCATGCATTGCAAACCCTCGAAATCATATTGGATAATGGATAAGGAGAAGAAAAGGTTGTTTGGACTTTAAAGGTATACGTTTTTATTTTGAAAAAACTTGAAACAAGAGGTAGAAGAAATACTAGCAACCCAATACCCGTAGGTCCACAATGACTTGTAACATTTGTTATATCAAACATAAACAAAAATTGGCATGGGTATCTTAATATATGAAAGAAATATAGTTGTTGCAAATAAAATAGATGTATATATTGAACAAAATCTACCAAAATGACATGCAATTTTAATTATCACTGAATTCTATCTACTTTTGTACAGAAGTATTCTTGCTCAGCCTTTTTTGTTTCCTAGGCACAACCAACCAATCTATAAATTCAGCATTAGACCATGGCTTTTTTATAAAAGCTATTGCAACAATTTCCAATAGTCCTGCAGCATATCCAAGGCCAGCACTTAGGTAAAACCACTCATCTACAAATTCCTTTTCGTTGTTATCATAACCATTGTTATTTGATGTATCGTTGAAATCAACATTATTTTCCTTGCACAACACGTCGAGTGGTAGACCACAAAGAAATTTATTGCCATAAAATGCAGATGAACTGAATGTTGTTAGCTGACCACCATTTGGTATCACTCCAGAAAAATTGTTGTTTGATAACTTGAGATTGCTTAGGAACATAAGGGATGACATAGTGATAGGAATCTCACCAAAAAAGTGATTGTTTGAAAGATCAAAATACTCGAGTTCTTTCATGCTATCAATATTTTGTGGGATCTTTCCTGTTAAATTATTATTAGAAAGGTCCAAAATAATCACACCAGAGAGATTTGTCAAAGTTTCTGGGAATTCACCTGACAGTTTGTTTCCTGATAGATCAATACTGGCCATAAGTGAGAGAGTCTTGGTGTATATTTGTTGTCTGTTGTTTACATAAATTGATATGTTTTCTTCATAGTAAGTTCCTTTGTAATGGCCATATCGAAGATAAGTGTTTACTTTCAATGGACTATTCAGGGCTTTAAAGGCTCCAAAGCTACGAGGAATTGTCCCGAAAAGGTGATTGTTGGCAAGATCAAGCACTTGCAAGGATTTGAGATTAGAAAGCTGAAAGGGTATTTGACCTGTGAACTTGTTTGATCTCAATCGAAGAATGCGAAGTGCTGGGAGTCTCTCGCCTAACCAAGCTGGAATTGATTCATTGAGATTGTTGTTTCCTAGGTCGAGTGTCTCCAGCTTGGTGCAATTTTGCAGGGATTGAGGGATCGAACCTGATAGGTCATTGTTGCTGAGGTGTAGAGTTTGCAGCAATACAAGTTTCCCAAGAGAACGAGGAATTTGTCCTGAGAGATTGTTGTGTTCAAGAACAAGAGCATTGAGGTGAGAACAATTCTTCAAACTTGAAGGGATTGATCCTATTAAAAAATTGTTTGAAAGATTTATGATTTGGAGCTCCTGAAGATATCCAATTGAAGAAGGAATTGTTCCAGATAAATTGTTATAGGCGAGGGAGAGGTGGATGATGTAAGGTTGCAATTGGCCAAAGTTGGAAGGAATGGTACCAGAAAATTGATTGCAAGAGAAGTCAAGTAGCTCAACTTGAGTTGAGGGCATTGGAATTGACCCACTGAAAAGGTTATTTCTCATATCCACATCAGCAAGGGGAGAAATTTTCATGGGATCTGGTATCCGACCTTCAAACTTATTAAATGAAATGTTTAAAAGAGAGAGATTTGAAGAAAGATCCTCCCAAAACCAATTTGGTATCTTGCCAGAGATTGAACTATTGGAGATGTCAAAGAATTGAAGTTCCCTCTGGGTTTTAATCCAGGAAGGAAACTGAGAACCCAACTGACATGAACCCATTGCTAGATTTTGAATCTGAAATGGAGGAACCCAGCTTGAGCTAAACTTAATGGTTAAAGAATTTGAAGAAATCAATAAGATTTTCAAACTGCTCAACTTCAAGAAGTGCTCCTCATTTAATATTCCAGTTAATTGGTTTGAAGAAACACCAAAGAATTCTAGTTTGGAAAGATATCCTAGAGTTAATGGAAGAGTACCATTAAGTTGATTTCCATCGAGGTCAAGTTGAGTGAGATGCGACAAATCTCCAAGAGATGGTGGGATGAGACCTGTAATCATGTTATAAGAAAGATCCAGGACACTGAGATTTTGGAGCTCTCCCAGCCATTCTGGTAAAGTACCTCCAATTCCATTTGTATTCATGCTGAAATAATATAAATTTTGCAGAGGTTTATCTGACAAACATCCTTCGACTTCCAGAGACTTAGGAAGTGTAAGAGTCAGCTTATTAATATCTAAACTCAAACCTTCCAAGTTGCAAATCTTTCCCATAGAGCTTGGGATCCCACCTTCAATGCTATTATCAAAGAGATCAAGCTCTACAAGTGAAGTGAGGTTCCCAATAGAATCAGAAAGAAATCCTTGCACTCCATTTTCTGCTAATAGAATGTACTCTATTTGCCTCCAGTTTCCACCAAGAAGCTCAGAAATGTCAAGTGTGAGATTATTGTTCGCTGATAGTGCAATAAACTTTAAGCTAGAAATTCTAAATATCTCAAGGATTGGACCATAAAAAGATGCATTTATCAAATCTAAATGAACTAAGCTACTTAAGTTAGCAAACCATTTGGGGATCAAAGAATTGAAGCTATTAAGAGAGAGATCCATGACTTGTAGAGAAGTGAGATTAATGAAAGGAAGGTTCTGAACAAGTCCTGCCACTCCACAGCCTCGCATATGCAATTCTCTCAAGGAAGATAGCCTGTTTAGTTGTTGAAATAATCCCGTTTCAGCCATTGAAATATTAATAAAGTTCATTGAGAGGAACTTCAAAGAAGAAAGACCGGATACCCAATGAAAATCATGCACAACTAAGGGGGGGAAACTTGAAGAAAGATCAAGATACTCAAAGCTTGAAGAAAGATCAAGATACTGCAACCTTGATAAGTTTCCTAAATGAGCGGGCACAGTGCCAGAGAATCCAGCTCTAGATAGGTTTAAGTATCTTAACTTCTTCAAAGAACCAAAGAAATGAGGGATTGGAATGCCTCCAAATGTATTGTAGCTCAAATCTAATTGTTCAAGCGACTTCAGCTGGAGCAAAGAAGAATCTATTTTTCCACTCAAGTTCCAAAAGCCATGAGATCGAAACTTCACAAAACTATCAATATCTGGATATGGATTGCGAAGCTTTATGAAAGTAACTAAACCAGTATGGTTATCACATCTTATTCCTCTCCATGAACAGCATTCACTTCCTCGCCATGAAGAAAGCCGGCCTTCTGGATCATTGAGACTCTTTCTAAACTGAAGAAGGGCCCTTCGTTCAACAACAAAACAGCCAAAAACAATCTCAGAACATAAGAAATAAGCTTGAATCAAACAACAAAAGAAAGCAAAAAGCTTTGAGGACTTCATGGCAGCAGTTGCAAGTATGGAAGATGTGAAGATTTAAGTGCTTATATAAGTTAAAAGCACAAAAGCATTCTTTTTATATTGTTTGTTTAGTGAAGTGAGCCATTGCTTTTGGTTTAAAACAGCGTAGAATTTGTCAAAAATGGTGGCTTAAAATCTTAATATACAATCATATATTCCCATTAGCTAAAGATATGATGTGAAGTAAAGGTAGATTAAATTCAAGGGTGGTTACTTTTTAATCTTTCAGTTGGCTTTAAGGAGATAGTGGAAGAACAATTTATGATGAGGGTGGAATGACTTGGAAACATTTAAAAACTAGCAGTTTTGGTATTATCGTGTATATTAATTTGTTAATTTAGGGTTTGTTTGTAATAGCTTTCTTACTGCTTCTTAAAGCAGCTTTTTAGTACAAAAATTAAAAAATCATTTTAAAAAATAATCAGAAAGCCATCCAAAACAAAGCCTTTTGAAACATATAATGGATCTATAAATTATAAAGTACTATATTAAACTTTATTAATCTAAGGTGTTATTGGATGCTCCCAATATTGTAATAGTTTTTTTTTTCAATGAGTAGATCTAAAACGGAATATAATAAGGGTTGGGTTTGGGTGACCTGAAAACCTGAAACCAACTCGGGTTTGACCCGGAAACCTGGCTGCTCGTCTCGCTCGGGTGAGTCGCTTCTCATATGGACTGAACCCGCTGTTGGCACTGTAGTGCTTGTCGTGCTCCGCCGGAGGATTTGCGAGATTTGGCTGAATAAGCGTGCGAACGGACAGGATTTGCCTCACTAAGCCGCGAACGGATGACAGATTTATAGGATTAGGCTGAATAAGCGCACGAGCTGACGGCAAATTTAAAAGATTTGGCTGAATTAGCGCGCAAACGGAGGATGGATTTACGAGATTTGGTTGAATAAGTGCAAAACAAAAATTGGATTTACGGGATTTGGCTGAATAAGCGCACGAACGGAAGAAAGTTTGTGTCGAATCGATTGATTACGAGTCTGGTCGGGTTGAACCGAACACGAACCGGGTCGGGTTCGGGTTGGGGAAAATGAATCAATTTCCAAACCTGGTCAGGTTCGAGTTGGATCAACTAGTGTAGGGGCCATTTTGGAGTTGAACCCGTAACTCACATTTGACACCCCTATTTGTTACTAGTCCATGAGGTGCTCAGCAACATGAAATATCTTTCAATTATTGGAAGAAGATAAGAATGACCAAGTTGTAGAAACCAGATATTGCATTAGGTGTCACAAAGAACCTACAACATTAAATACTAAATAAATTTAGGCTTCGTTTGGGACAATTATCTTATTGCTTTTTAAATTAAAATTCATAAATTAAAATTCTTGTATTATAAAGCTGCTTTTAGAAGCAATATAAAAGTTGTCTCAAACAAAACTGTAGCTTGTAGTGTAAGTTTGGTAGATAGTAGTGGTGGTACCCACTGCATTGCTTATTGAAATCTTGTTGCTGCCCATCATAAGTGCTGATATAGAAGTAATAGTCTATTCGGCCTTAGCAGCATTGTATCTGCTATGATAGCATTCTCGGTGGCCAGTGAGAAAGTTTCTTTTATGTTTAATGATGGCTTGTAGTGGCTGCTTTCTTGACTGCTTTTTTTTTATATAATTTTTTTATTAGCTTTCTTGACTGATTACCTATTATTTATTCAGCAGATTAGGGAAATTATTTTAGAGATGAAGAATGGCAGATAAGTGGTTATTATATACCCCAATATGCGGAATTGCACGAGTTATGGAGATCAAATAG